GGGAGAGTTGGGGGTGTTCAGCCTGGGGAAGAGAAGGCTGCGGGCAGAGCTGAGTGCGGCCGGTCAGGGCTTAAAGGGGGCCCAGAGGAAAGGGGGGGACAAGCTTTTTAGTAGGGCCAGCTGTGACAGGACAAGGGGTGATCATTTTAAACTGAAAGAGAGTAGGTTTAGACTGAATCTAAGGAAGAAATTCTTTACAATGAGGGTGGTGAAACACTGGAACAGGTTGCCCAGAGAGGTGGTGGAGGCCGCATCCCTGGAAGCATTCAAGGCCCGGTTGGACGGGGCTGTGAGCAGCCTGATCTAGTTAGCGGTGTCCCTGCTCCTGTGGGGGGGGGTTGGACTAGATGACCCCTAGGGGTCCCTTCCAAACCAAAACATTCTATGATTCTATGATTATGATTCTATGAAATATAGATGCAATATTACCTCCCCCGTCCTCCCTAAATGAAGGTAGGCCTCTAACTTGTGCAGGTTCCTTCTCTTCTCTTAGGGTCCTCAGTTCTTTTGTGGTGTTTCATTAGGACAAACTGAAGCCTGAGCTGCACAAAGCAGTGAAAGTCCAGCTCTCCTTTTCGTGTGAAAATGTTATTAAAGCATCTGATGCTGAAATAGAAAGAGTTCAGATGACTGGCAGCTTTCATTAAAAGAAAAAAAAAAAGGGTCAAAAAATAGTTTTGTCACTCAGGGTTGCAGGAAAAAGTCTGAAAATAGGAACAGTATAAATTCCCTAAACTTAGAAGTCAAAATGAAAACAATGGGAAAAGTAAACCAAAAAACTCTGCAATGCAACTAGGAGGCTGAATTAAAGGGGGCCCAGAGGAAAGGCGGGGACAATCTTTTAGTAGGGCCAGCTGTGTCAGGACAAGGGGGGATGGCTTTAAACTGAAGCAGGAGAGGTTTAGACCGGATCTCCCTGGGGACATTCCAGGCCAGGTTGGCCAGGGCTGTGAGCAACCTGATGTGGTTCAAGGTGTCCCTGCTCCTGCAGGGGGGTTGGGCTGGGTGACCTCTGGGGGTCCCTTCCCACCCAAACCATTCTATGATTCTAGGATTCTATGAATTAAAAACCCCACTTAAAGATACCCAATGCAGGGCACCTTGGGCCCAGTCTGCCTAGATTTTAGAGGCACCAGATCAAATTACAGGCCGGTCTGAGTTTTCAAGTAGCTGGAAGAGTAATACCTATTTTATTTTGATAACCTAAGCAAAGTACCAAAAAATAAAGAAGAGTCACAGTCAGAGATTTTCATTTTAAATTTAACACATCAACAAAATATTTCTCCATGAAAAAAGCAATTTTGAGTCTATCCAAATGTTCCGGTTCACTCTAAACACAATGTTTCTTTGTGATTTAAGAGCATTTAAACTT